GGTTTGAGCACCGTTTGAGCACCGGCACCGTTTCAAAAGTACCGATTTGGCACCGGTATCAGATAAAACCTAAACGATACCCATCCCTACCCTTTAGTGTGTCTCTGTGTGTATAAATAATCATGTCTTCCCGTTGTCCTTTGTCACAGTGTCTGTTACCTATCTTGTGTGCCGTCTGCAAGTTTTTGGTCATCGGTTGGATTTTTGCATGGACTTTCTAACCGCCTAATAAAAGGTGCATTTTCTGTTTAAATGAATCTGCCTCCTGAGACTGCATTAGGCTCCTTATCCTGCAAATCTCGTCACCTTTTAATCGTTCTATACGTTGTATCTCACTCACTCTGTAGAACCAGAGATGCCATGCTGGCCTGCCATTTTCAGCATCTTGGGACTCAGTGTCTTGTCCAAGATACTTGGGCTTGTGCAGGAGCGTATGATTAGTGGCCAGCCCGCTGTACCATCTAAACCACAGCTGCTCAGAAAGTGCAGCCGCATTTCTGGATCTTGTGTATATAAATATTTTTTTCTTTTTATGGTAGAGCTTGAGCTGGCATTTGTGGATACGACGATGAAATGTGTTGACTAGGACTGGTTCACGACTGACAGGAAATACCACTACAGAATCTTGTGCTTTTGGCCTCATCCCTTGCATGCAAAGATTTCTCAGGGATGATTGTCAAATTAAAAGACATAATTTTTTTAAATTGCTGAAATATTTGACACCTTTCCAGAGTGGGTAAACACCTCCCCCATCTTTAACTCTGAATGTCAGGTTCTCTGGATGTTTTATGTAATTGACCTGTTTCCATAGCTCTAGGTGCTTTTTAATATTATGCTTTTTTTTTTTTTGTCTTTTTACTCCTCCACTAACCCTTTTCAAACTTGCTTCTGGCATCAAATTCATTATTTAAACAGCATCTCAACTTTTTTGGAAGATCATTTGTAGTTTAGTTTTGCTTGTTTACCAATGCTCAGTTTATACACTACTGATTTATTTGTTTTTATTCCTTTGCATATTGACTTGTTTCCAGATCGACACAAAGTTTCATTTTTTTGTATGTCATACATCATATTCTGAAATTTAATGATAAATTGGAATGTTTTCAAAAATTGTAATGCAAACAGATGCACTGTAGCAAACACTGATCGTGGAGCCTCACCAGAATTTCTGTGTCTAGATGTCCACAACGTGTCTGCTGTATGTTGACTTAATAAGCCAATATGCTTATTACAGTGCTCCTGGGTAGAGATGCAAAGTATAATGGGTTTTTCTTGCTTTGATGGGAGTTTAATTGGATTGTGTTTATTCTGTAGTCACTACAAGTCACTGTTATTTAACAAGATCATATATTTGGGTCATTAGCGAACTGCATTCTGCAGATGTTTGATATAACTCACCAAATAGAGAATGTAAATGTTTGATAAGGGATCCAGTGGTTTTAGAACTCAACAAACATGGGAATTTTCCCAACTTGAAAGCAGTTACAGATCGAAAGTGACAACTACAACTAGAAACTGTAATAATGGATGTATTGGAAAGATAACATCAGCATTCAACATATTTAGTATATTATAGAGGCCTGTTTGACAGATGCATGCAAAGATTTGAGTGAGCAGCTTTTAAAATTATCATTCACTCTATTCGTAGATTTTTAAAGAACTTCCTCATCAGTTTGTACATAGTTTTGTATATAATTTGTCATTGTAGGGTTAGGTCCTCCAAAACAACTGAGAGACTCTCCAGAAGTTCTTCTATGAATTTGAGTTGTTTCATTGTTTTCCCATCTCTTTGTGTAATCCAGGACTGACTTTGTAATGCTGAGATCAGTGCTCTGTGGGGACCATGCAGTCTGTCACAGGACTCCTTGTTCTTTTTGTAGCTGCAGATTTTTCTTTCTCTTTTTTTTTTAGGTGGATTCTGGCCACTGGAACTTTTTCATAGCTGTTATAACTCTTAAAAATAAGTCATCTCTGTTGATGTCTGCATTGCAGGAACTAGAACCTTTCAGAGTTCTTAAAGCCCTGCATTTTGGGGTCTTTGACATACATGTGTGGTGGAAAAATCCAAGTAAGCAACAAAAAGGGGGGAAATGGAAGTCATAAAGCATATGTCAGATTTGCTAGTTCGGACATCCACCCACAGTGAAGCAATGTAGTATGTGTAGATGAAAATTGGCAGCTTTTTCAGTGTACCGGTACTATATATGCCACTAAGTTAAAGACAACAGCTCAACTTTAATGCTAAAAAGAGACTTTTTTTGTATTTAATATGCCAGTTTTTCAGCGATAGTTTGGAAGGATATCGATTTGTTAGAGATACAGTATGACAGTCCAGTCCAGTGTTTAAGTAAATATTTTGTAATTGTTGTATTAAACAGTCATAGTTGTGGGTGGCCTTATGACTTCTGTTGTGGCGCCATAACCACAATGCACTCCATTACTGTGAGAGTAAAACATAAAGTGTTTATAAATTATAGATTGCCTTTTAAGGTGAGGGTAAGTCTCCAGGAGATTAATGTTCATGAGTACTGTGTCCTCTGAAGTAGCAACTGTGAGAGAAAGGTGGCATATATGAACCTGCAGTGAGTGAAAAATGCCAGTATTTGCTGACCTGCACACAGGTTTTGGTAAGGTGGAGAAGCGTGTTTGTGAGTGTGTGTATAGAGAAAAAAAAGGCTCAAGCACATGGAGGACAGGCAGCTTGGGTTACAGGTCATCTGATATCTACACACACCCACACCACAGCGCACAGTCCTGCACGTACACACTGCAAGCTCAGCAAGATTCAGGTGACTTAGCTTTTCAGCGAATGTGTGTTTGAGTGTCACTTTCAGTGAAGCAGTCCTCTCTTTGTGCAATGTAGGTCAGCTGAGCCTGCTCTCTCGATCCCTCTCCACGTCTCCCATGCATCTTAAGCTTTTCCTCACTCTCATACCCTCTGCTCTCCAGTCTTTCTCACCTCCCTGCCTCTGTTTATCCCTTTCTCGACCTTCCTCGGTCTCTTCCCTCATTAACTGTTGTTGTAGCCATGCTGTTTTCTTTTTTCTTTCTTTAAGATACCAAAGTTTCCCACAGTGGATGCGAGAAGGGGATATACAGTGGGAATTACTCTTTTGTTCTACTTTGAGTTCTTTTTTCTTTCTCTTTCCCACTATGAACACTTCTTTCTGGCTCTTAGTAACACTGCAGGATAAAATGGAAGCAACCGGGAGGATTATGAAGTTAGCATTGGTGTCTCTGCTCCCGCAGCACAGCTGTGATTTCTAGTTATATTTGTATATTTAAATGCTTTATAATTTCCCACATTACCTTTAATGTGACATGATAGTACACTTTTCCAGCAGAAGTTGTTCAGTAGCTGCTATGCTATTGTTGTCATGACTTGTTTACCTGATTTTTGTCTAAGGTTAACTATTATTTTATGTTGCACATATAAGATTTCTCTTGGAATACAACCATTTTCATGTGTCTGAATCAGTTGTGACAAATTGATGCTGCCACAGACAGCAGCATGAGCAGATCTGAGCTGCATGTACCGACATTGTCCGTGTTTGAGGTGACAGCTGATACGAAATGTCTCTCATCTTTGAACACTCAGGCATATAACGTTCCCTTTACCTTAGAGTCTTAAGTTGAGCAAGAGCTTGTTGAGTTGTTTTTACGTAGTAGATTCGGATTCCTTTATTGTCAGTCAGTCAGTACATCACAGATGCATTGCTGAATGAAGTTATGAGTACAGAAGGGAAGAAAAACCACCAAAAACATCACAATAAAGACAGAATGAGGTTAAGATTATAGGGCAACTGACTATTACACATGAACAGTAAAATAAGATAAATAAAAATAGTATTGCACGGTGTATACAAACTCTTTAAGACTGAGGTGAGGTCAGCTATTGGATTGATGTGCATTATTGTCTCTGTTTTTGTATTTTGTGACTAAACAGTAGCGTGACTGAGGTTAGGTTTGCTGAAGAGACATGTCAAAGATTTATTGCAAAAGGATTCCAAGAGTGTACAAGTGAATACTAATGTAGAAAATAGGGAGCATAAAACCATTAAATGGAAGAATGATAATTGAGAATGGTTATGTAGTAGGAGAGGTGGACAGGCTGAGGCAAGAGAGTCAAGTGGAGGTGGAGTGACAGAGAGGAGAAAAAGAGGGAGATACAGAGAGTACATCTCAGGGCTAAAAGCTCAGCGATCAACATTCCCTCTCAGCACACATCTGAATCATGCCGGCTCGATTAAACAGATAAAGTATATACTTGAATAAGCGAGTGTGCGCTGTGTACCATGAAACAAAGGCTGCTGTGTGCTCCGTGCGAATGTGAATATGCATGTGTGTTTACTCCTACGCCTGTTTCTGCAGCTGTGTTGTAGTAGCATTACAACACGTCTTAAATTACAGGAATCTGCTTGAGCTGCATGATGTCCCTCGCTCTAGAGAACACACATTTACACACATACTGTGTGGGGGAATTAGCTAAGAAGGCAGTGGAAGCCTCCAAAGTTTGGTTGAAAAACTACATTTTTGGGTTTTTTTTATCAACTTTAGAGTAGGACTCAAATTGAGAACCACTAACTGTTAAAATTCAATGCAGTATTTTATTTGATGATATTGCCAAACCAGCTAAATAAATGCGGCTGTAACCTGTTTTTAATCAGTTTCCTCAGTCCCGTTTGACACGTTTTAGTGAATGGATGGATGGTCCACATCTTCCATCCATCTTCTTCATTAAAGACGCTTTTAGAAAAAGAAAAGTATTTTCAGATGTTAATCATCTGGTTCCTTATTGGGCAAAAATAGTGAAAACCTTTACTTTTACTTTGTCAAGTCCATCCATTTTCTTAACTGCATTTCCAGTTAGGGGATTGTGGGGTGCCACAACCTGTCCCAACTGTCATAGGGCCAAAGACAGGCTACTCTCCGGACAGACTCTCAGTCCATCACAAGGCTTTTTTCAGTCTGTAGCATCACTTAGGCGTTGATATAATTTGCTGTTTTACTGCAGAAATGGACGGTTTTCTAAATGTGTAACTGTGCAGGCGGTCACAGAAACCAGGGACGGTACAAACTCACTGACTCTACAAAGAACAAATAAATTGGTGAGCCGTGCAGCAGTGTGTTAGTGAACGATATGTGAGCTACCTGTGCGTGTGCGTGTCTGTGTGTGTGTCTGTATGTGAAGTTGTGCTGTGCTTCAAGAAAAAAAACATGTGTCAGCATAATTGAATATACACAGGTGTCAGTGTTTGAGTAAGCAAGCGGTTCATGCTCGGTGTTGTGTGTGTATGTGTGTGTGTGTGTGTGTGTTGGGGATGTATGTGCTTGAAATTCCTCTACATTATTTATGAGTTTCACACTGAGCTTCCCATCTTTCACAGTAGGGGATGCTCGCAAACAGATGGCACACACAGGCACATGCACATGTGGTACACTCTCATTTATGGTATACACACAGGCTTGTAATCAAACTCTCATTATTAGTCATTTACTGAAAGTGCCTGGTTATTGTTGCTTGGAGTGGTCATTTTTATATTAGCAGGGTCTCTTTTCTTGAAATTGCAGTTACCCATGACTGACCTGTGTTGCTGTTATTCACATTGTTACATAAAACACCTCCATATCCACACAATCTACAGGTCACGCTTGTTGCAGTGGGCTTTTTGTATTTGTTAGCCTCCTAATTCTCATCTTTGTCACCTTTTTAGAGCTGTTACTTGACCTCCCGAGTGTCCTGCTGGCTTATTCTTCGTAGTTCAAAACGTTGTCCTTTTGTGGATTTGTTGGTGCTAAAGTTTTGCTGTTTTGCTCAGACACATTATTAACCTGTCTGTCTTTATAGGTCTGTAGATGCACTGCATTCACTAGAAGGGATTTTGAAAATGGCTCTGTCATTATAGTTGCCGTCTTGCTGAAAAAAAGCACAGAATAAGAATTATAAAGTATTCTCCTATTCATCAGTTAACGAGCCACACCTTTTCTAACCATCTATTTTTTCCTCTCTCTTCCACAGGATTGTGCTGCGTGCGGGCAGACTTTCTTTCACAAGGAGATGATTCCTCATGAAGTGCGACGCACTCGGCCCCCCATCGTCCTCTGCGACAGCGGCAGGTGTGACGTTGTGACGCTCTCCACCTCCACGCTGAGCTCACCCATCAGTCTCTAAAGATCCCCGGACGGAACGGACCGCCCTTCCCCCTCCCCTTTTAACCACCCCTCCATATCGTCATCCCCATCTTTAATCCTTCCTCACCTGCTTGTTAGGGCCTGGATTTTCTTTGTCAAGAAAAGGCCTTGGGTGAAGTGGATAGAGAGGGAAAAGAGACAAGATTGGGGAAGTTTCATTTTGTGGCTAATTAATGTGAAATAAAGGACCGGACATCAAAAAGTGAGAAAGCGAACAAAAGCGACAACGAAAGTGAAAGAACGAGGAAGCAAAAACAAGGAAAAAAAAGAAAGCTGTAGTCCAAAACTCGAGGAAGGATAACGCAAGTATAGTTGAGGGGCGTGAGGTGAAATCAGCATGAAGTCCAACCAGGAGCGCAGTAATGAATGTCTGCCCCCAAAGAAGAGGGAAATCCCCTCTAGCACGCTACCATCTGAAAATCGCTCACCTATCATGCCACCTGCCACTGAGAGCCAGCGCTCAGAAAACATGACCTGGCTCGCCAGTGTGGCTGGTGGGAACGAGAGCAGTGTGGGTGCGCACCGTAGCTCCAGTCACTCTGACGGATCGCAGTATAAATCTCCCTCCTCCATATCAGACTCTTTGACCTCTGCGTCCTCACTGAGGGTGGTCTCATCTCTTCCTACAGTGTACACATCCCACCTGCCACAGACCACAGTTGGAGGAGCTGTCCATTACACCCATCTGCCTCACAATATGCAGTTTATAGCCTCACCTTACACTGCCCCATACAGTTACATCCCCTCTCAATTGCTTCCTCCTCCACCTCCTCCCCCCCTGTCCTCCTCTTCCTCGGCTGCACAGAGACCCTCACACACAGAGACGGCCTCTGCTCCTTCACAGGCCTCCAAGCAGGACCAGCAGCGAGCATCCACAGGACGTACCTCCATGCCTCCTCCTTCTACAGACCCTGTCCCTCACCATGTTCAAATATCAACATCCCCACGGACTGTGCCATCATCCCATCACCAAGGAGGCACTCACCTTTCGCCCCACTCAATGTACCCTCACCATACTTTGGGACACAGCATGTCTCAGGTGGTGGTGCAGTATACAGATGGACCCACCAGAAAAGAGCAAGGTGGCTCTCAGAGACCCAGAGAGCTCCACAATGGAGAGCTGGAAAGGGGCCGGCGGTATGCCACGCCACTCGAGTCTAACATCTCCAAGTCAGGGAGCAAATCACGGGATGCCACATCCTCTTTGTCTTCCTATGAGGCTCGACAGATGGTTCTGCCAACAGACTACTCTCCGCATGATCCATCAGGGCTGAGAACCTCTGTCATGTTAATGCCCAACAGCCATGGGGACCACCAGCTGGTACCACCCAGAGCCAGCCCTGAGAAGGTGACAACTTCAGCCCCTGCACACCTGGAGAAAAGTGGCAACATCATGGGCAAGCCTGTCAGTCGTGCTCCATCCTTATCCAGCACCACCTCCTCTTTCACATTTCCACCCCCACTAAGTGTAGACAGCCTGAAAGCTGCTGTCAGCACACTGCCACCCCAGACCGTCATCCAGACCACCCACAACGCCACAGAGCCACTCTCAATGGGGCTCTCTTCCACCAGTATCTACCCTCAGCAACCTATTATCGGCTATATTGCAGGAGGCAGTGGTAGCAGCTACCACACCAGCCTACAGCAACACTTACTCATTCCAGGCCCCCAACCGGTCATCATCCCTGTCAGTGGAGGTGGAGTCACAACATTGGAGCCTGTAACCTCCCATGTTACATCATCTACCCAAGCTGCACCTTTTCCTACTACACTCCCACATACGTACATTGCCACCACCGCCCCCAAAGGAGAAACTCTGGAGACCCACAGTGGCTCATTTCACCAGGATGCCCCAGGTGCAGTGGTCCAAGCCCAGCTTCATCTCCCCATTGTTCCTGCTCCACCAGGGCTGGTGGCGACCTCCGCCGCACATCCCCCCTCTAGTACGGTGCTGCCTCCCTCGCTCCCCCCATATTTCATCAAAGGTTCCATCATCCAGTTGGCTGATGGCGAGCTGAAACGTGTGGAGGATCTGAAGACAGAGGACTTCATCCAGAGTGCTGAGATCAGCAGCGAGTTGAAGATAGACTCGTCCACAGTGGAGCGCATTGAGGGGAGCCACACCTCGCCCAACTTTGCTGTGGTTCAGTTCTCCGTTGGTGAACACCGTACACAGGTGAGGGAAAAAATCTGAAAAATTTAACAGACATCGCAGATTCAGGAGTCCAGTATCGCAATCACACGTTTCCTTAATCACTTTATCACGTACAGGGGTGTTTTTACAATTTTGAGAAACTAGCTTATTTGCTTTCTTGCTAAGCAATAGCATCGTCTTATCTTACAAACTTTAGCTGCTGGTTAGCTTAGCATGAAGTCTCCTCTGACTAACAACAAGATTCTTAAAATTCACTGCTCTAGCACGTAACCTCACCATGAAACTGTGATGTGTTCGCCTTTTTTTGCAAAGGAATTAAACAAACAAGATAGAGGTAGAGCAGGTCATTTGCTAATTGAAAGGTTCCCCGTTCCTTCAGTCTTTCCCAAGACACTGACCCTTATGTGTTTACTGATGTGCGAGTGGGTGCTTGAGAGGTAAAAAGTGCTCGAAGGAATAAAAAATTACACTGCTGTGTGAATGTGTGCGAATGAGTAAATGCGACTTACAGTTTAAAATCACTTTGAGTGTTCGCTCTTTAGCAGCAGAAAAGTGCGAGTAGTGGTAGTAAGTAGCAGTCCATCTATGGTCTTAAATTTAATGTACTGATTAAAGTTTATTTGTGTTTACCTTCTCACACAGCTGGGATATTTGTTTCCCCTTTGCATACATTGTTTTAATGTTTGTAATAATGTGATTTAATAATTTCTCAAAATGTTCACATGTGGTTTCACGATCTTTACAGAGCTCTGTTTGCATGAGGTTGTCAAAGTTTGATTTATCTCATTCATGCACACAAACATGTAAATGAAAAGTTACTCGGTCCTTTGGCATTTTCCAGGTGGGACCGAGGTACCAGCACACCTAAATCTAGTATGTGACTAATCTAGTATCTGGCTAAACAGTCCAGTTCTGGTTTTATTTTTAAGTTCTGTGAGCTTAAAAATAATCTATAATAAGGCTTCTATGTGCATCATCGTCTTCCACAAATGTTTAAAGTTTTCAAGGTATTGAGGACTGGAATCTACTTCAGGTTGTCTTAGTTAATTAAAGCCATGTAAATGTGTTGATATATTGCTACATGTAATGCTTTGCATATTTAAAGTGCTGATTTATACATTTGAATTAGCAAAGAAATAGAGCTTTCTGTAATTTATTCTACCAAAGTACCAGCTGTTGTAAAGTTCTTCTGTAGGAAAAGTACATCCTTGACTTACTGATGCTACTTTTAGCAAGATTAACTTTTTCACTCTTCTTTTGTACATTTGTCCATCAGTCTTTGACATTTGCTTGCTGATGTTTTTGACCTCTCTTCTGGTCATCCTTCAGTTGCTAGGTGTTTGCAGGTTTTCTTTATGTACTGTCTATTTTAAAGCCTTCCACCTCATTTCAGTCGGATTGATGTCTGGGCTTTGACGAAGCCTTTCCTTAAGCCTTCATTTCTTCTTTTGCCACCAGTGCTTGGTAGATTTGCTCCTGTGCATTAGATCGTTATCCTGTGCAGAAATATTCAACTGTGGGTTAACTTGAACTTTGGTAAAGGTGACTTTATGTTATCTTCATATCTTCATTCATTAATAGGCAGATGTTTGGCTCTGATGTTTTCCCCCTTCCACTAAAGTTCTCTTTTTTCTTTTATCTCTTTCTGATCAGTCATGTGCAATTTGACGCTAATAGTTACCTGCAGACCCTGAGATGACATGTTGGTGGTCTTTTTTTATTTTTTATTTTATTTTTTTAGTGGATAAATTGTCCTTTTTTGGGACATTTGTTTACTTCTTTTCTTTTCTACTCTGCCACAGTTAAATACAAACATACTTGAATCTCTCATTAACATTGATTACTGATTGTTGGGGTTTCCTCTATATTATTGTAGAGTCTTTACCTTATAGTATAATATGTGCCTTGAGGCAACTCTTGTTGCGATTTGAAGCTGTATAAATATATTTAAATTTAAATGTGAATTGCAGCAATCTCTTAATCTCCGATATTATGCCACAGTTTATCTTTCCAGCTTTTTTAGGCACACTTGCGCTCACGTACACTCTCATGCAGCCTTCGCCCTGTCTTTGAGGATGTGCGTTGAAGCCAGTTAATCTTTTTCATCTGTCTATGCTGCGACTCGTCCACCCACACAGCACATCTCTAACCATCTCTCTCGCCCCCAGCTGCTCTTTGATGTCGTACCCCACAAAAGCTGACCATCTTTCAAAGACTTCTCTTTCTCTCTTGTGCTCCTTCAATGGTTCCTCTTACTTTTTTCCTGAGCGGCGGTTATAGCTTTGAGTCCACACTCAGAGAACTTACTCCAAGAAGTCAAAAGTTATATAATACAGGAGGGGAAAGTGTTGCCTGACGTAAGAGTTAAGATTTGAGATTTGGTACTTGTCACGTCTTTCGTTTGTATCCTTCTTGACATAGCTCTCTTTTCATTTCCTCCCTCTTCTTCTTGTCCAACCTACTCTCTCTTTTTAAACTTGTCTTTTCATCCCCATCTTAGAAGCTTCCTCCACTTCCATCATCTCGCTCTTTTACGGTATCCTATCCCTGGCTTTGCCTTCTTTCTGATGTTTCTGATGTTTATTTTCCTTCTCCTGAGCCTGCAGCCGATCTCTTTTTGTCATCCGTTCATTCTTTTTATACATTCAAACACTAATACAGACCCAGTCAGGGCTTTAAGTCCACAGTTTAAATCAGAAGTGAAAGAAAAATCACAATTATTGCATAAATATCTTTTTGACTTTGCAGAACACTAACAGAAAACGTTTGTATTTCTTTCTAACTTAAAGTCTTAGAAAACAGGAGCAGCTGGATACCCTTACTGCTTCTTACTGCCTTACCAAGAGCATTGAATAGCAGCCATGTGCTGCTAATCAAACACTCTTGATTAACTGATGATCAGCAAGTGTGAGCACCTCTATGAAAGTAGAAGTTTTGGAAGTTTCTCACAATAATGTGAGAGACTCTGAAAATTGTACAGAGAACAAGTTATTGCTGCTAAAGGTGTTTCTACAAGCTACTGAATCCTGGCGTGGACCTCAGAGTTCTGTGAAAACGTCCTTTTTCAGATGAGAGTTTCAGGTCTCAAGCTGACACCAGTATTAGTAGTATGGGGCGACCGTGGCTCAGGGGGTTGGGAAGCGTATCTGTAGGAAGGTCGCCGGTTCGATCCCCGGGCTCTCTGTCCTGGTCGTTGTGTCCTTGGGCAAGACACTTTACCCTACCGCCTACTGGTGTTGGCCAGAGGGGCCGATGGCGCGATATGGCAGCCTCGCTTCTGTCAGTCTGCCCCAGGGCAGCTGTGGCTACAACCGCAGCTTGCCTCCACCAGTGTGTGAATGTGAGAGTGAATGAATAGTGGCATTGTAAAGCGCTTTGGGTGCCTTGAAAAGCGCTATATAAATCCACTCCATTATTATTATTATTATTATTATTATTATTATTATAGCTGTGTAGTGTTTTCAGTATTCGTCATGACAAAAAGGTTCACAAATAGTAAAGTAATATGCAGCAGATTTTCTCCATGTTTTTTTTTATAATGTGTACTTAACAGGGTCAGTGTTATAGGACATGGTGTCAACAGGATGCCGCAGAATTTCAGATTTCAGTTAAGAAAATGGCCAAACAGAGGCATGGCAGGTTTTCCTTTAAAGCTTTTCTCAAATAAAATTCAGGACACTGGCTGCTGTCGTGCTGCTGGGCTAGTCTGGGAACTGGGTTACATTCAATTTCCTGTATTTCTTCTTCTTTCTTCTTTTTTCTCGTTATCCTTTTTTAGACACTGCATTCTTATCGAAGCTCCAAAACTGAGTGGAAAATAATGTTAAAGTCATGAACTTTCATAATTAACATGTTAAAACCATGGTTTAGTTCATGCCTTGATTTTTGGACCTGAGATTCACAAAGAAAAAATTCCCCATATTCCGATCTAATTTCCTGAAGGAGCTTCAAACATTACAGCTTTCGGCTCCACGTGAGATTGTTTAGTTTAACAAAATCAAAAGATCAAAGTGGATTTTTTTGTGAAACAACAGTATATAATGTAAATAAGGTATTCATTCGTTTCTCCCCAATTCTCTTCTCTAGGTGAGCGTGGAGGTCTTGTTGGAATACCCCTTCTTCGTCTTTGGCCAAGGCTGGTCTTCATGCTGCCCGGACCGGACCACCCAGCTTCTGGAGCTGCCTTGTACCAAGCTTTCTGTAGGCGATGTTTGTATTTCACTCACGCTCAAGAACCTGAGGAACGGATCTCTGAAGAAGACTCAACCCCTGGAGCCGGCCGCCCACGCCTCTGTCCCCTCCAGCCACGGACACCTCAAACCCCCTAGAGCTGTGTCGGACGCTCCTCAGAGCTGCAGTGGAGGAGGTCCCAGGCACAGAGAGCGGGAGAATGGCATCAGCCAGCGAGGGAGTGGGGAGAGTGGAAATGGAGGTAGAGGGATCTCCGGTGTGGAAAACGGGGATCTCGTGTTTGGGGAAAGAGTTTCCAAAGGTCAGGTTGTCGGCAGTACAGAAGCTGGCTCTACTAAGCCATCGGGAAGCAGGAAGCGCAGATGGTCTGCGCCCGAGGGTCGAAAAGTAGAAAAATCAGAGGAGGAACCACCTTTGACCCTTCCCAAACCTTCCTTCATCCCTCATGAGGTGAAAATCAGCATTGAAGGAAGGTCAAATATTGGCAAGTGAAGGCTAGCAGGACTGTTAACAACCCATGAAATAAAAAAAAAACACAGCTAAAAAGATTCTACAAAAACCCCATAAATGTCCACGGTGAAGGTTCATTTGTCGTGGTTTTGTTTTTTTGTTTATTTTTAGTTCACATCCTGTACTGTAGCGGTAACCTTACCCTACACCTTACATTAAGTCCATGTAGTTTAACACCTTTATGTTTTTTTTAAATAGATTGATTAATTATCACATAAGCAATCTGTGCAGTTTTGGTGATTTTCATGAGAAGATTTCTGGTGAGGGATTTCTGACCTGTGCGTTGAATGTTTATCGGTTGCTCTGTGGCACACGGGCGCAACATTCGATGGCTCTGCTTGGCCGGCGACACATTACGCTGAAATTTCCACCCTGATTGGTTCGCAATCGCACTCTGTGACAGTGATGTTACCTGTGTACTCGGGCAGTAAGGCTGCCTGGATTCGCCTCTGGTAATAATGAAGGATTTGCGGGTAAATCGTTAAAAATTTTCACCTGCTAAATCAGACCAGAAGTTAATATGATCTGATCGTCACTGTGTCATCCGGGCCTGTGGCTGACCGGAACCAGAGGTCATCGTGTCGATGCCCGTGTGCTGCACACAGTTGTGAGGGAACAACACTTACTCTGCTCAGTTTGTAGACAGTGGAGTCTTTGCTTTCATTTCATTTTAGTGTTTTTCATTTGACTTTTTTTCTTCTTTAACCCCTCATCTCCCATCTCACCACATAGGTTTTACATTTTTTTTCAAGATTTTTTAAAACCTTAATCAGGGGTCCTTTTTAATAATCAATCGATCGCGCCTAGGTGGGTCAATGTTCATGTGTCAATATGCGAGGCCCCTAACCTTAAGCAAATGCAAACACACTGGGTTGGTGAACCCAGCGTGTTTGCACTCAAACGGAGTCTTCGCATACGATCCTAGCGGTTTTGTTTGAGTTTTATTTAATAAATCACTTTAATTTTTCTTTACAAATCCTGAAAGGTCGCGTGAGGGGAAGCGAGAGAATCTCCACGTTAGCTCTGAGAGGGTCAGGATGTTTCAAAGCACTTAACACACCTGTCACTCTCATCATACAGCCAACAAAAAAAAACAACAAAAAAATGATGATGTTGTGTGTTTATTTACAAAGTACTGTATGCTCTTAGATTTTTTTCTTTCTTTTTTTAAAGACGAAGGCAGAAAGTAGCAGAAGCACTTTGTGAAAGGTAAAGAGGTTGTTAAGTAACGTGGGAGCAGATGTGCCATTAAATCACAGAGCAAGGGACAAATGTCAGAGCGAGAGGAGTTTCAGTTAGTAGGTTAGGGTAGGGGAAGTGAGATGAAGCAGGAGGTATCGCGGTTTTCGGCATGTGCGCGGCAGGAAAGTATCGGAACGTGTCTGGAAAGTTCGATTAAGACGGGAAAAAAGAAACAAGTCTTTGAAATATCCTGCTCAAGATCTGTTTTAGACTGAGAGCAACAATCAGAAGCTCACACCCACAGACTTGTGAAGGTCATCATATATTTGTAATATGTGTGTGTATGATGCTGGTGTGTTTGCTCACACACACGCACGCGCTCAAACAGACACAAAATAGTCTCCAAAACTCAATACGTACTGTACTTGGCAATCCATATTTAGACAGCTGCAGAGGCAAGCGTTTATTTTGGTGCATATTGTCCCAACTGCAAAGACACTAGTGGACTGACGTTGGATTAATGCACGCGGCACTGCTACAGTGCAGCCGTGCAGAAAAAAGTGCTCTGAGCTGTGTTTGTGTATGGGTGGGAGTTTGTATAAGAGTGTGTGTGCACTGTGTATAGGAAAATGATATAAAGACAACGCTAAATGTCCAGTGTTTCTACTTGGAGTCTTTAATTAAGAGAATCCTGCAATTTGCACATCAGGAGGAGGGAGTTCAGTCGAGACGCGATTTTTATTTTTTGTTTTATTTTATTTTTTTAAGGCCCTGTCCCAAAACTAGCCCTAGAGCCACATGACACACTGGAGGAGATCAGGGTTTTTGTTCCTAAACAGGCACTTACCACACTGTAGAGGAAACGTTTCTGATCAACAGTTATGGCAAACATGTGCCTGCCTACTAAACTGAATTAAAAGCCGACCATTTCTCGGGTTGCTTAAGGAGAATATCTGCCCCTGCTGATTAAACCAGGGTGCCCAGAGTGTAAAGGGGGGCTAGGGTTCGCTTTTGAACACGGCCTGTGCTCAGCCAGCCAAAACTCATTTATCCCTTAGATAGCAGTTACCTCAACAGATGTGCTTGCGTGGTCAGTCGGTCGATCGTCCTCACGGAGTTTGGGGTTTTTCTCTAATATGAAACCACGAGCCTTCGGTGTAATTGGCCATCCTTGATCATTTGGCTGATTCTTCTTCTTAAAAAACCCCAAAACAAAACTAAAAATAAAAAAAACAATTGGCCGGTTAGTTTTTTTTTTTTTTAAATCTATACCATGTAACATAGAGGTGCCATACAACATGTAAACATATCTCAGGTTTTGTGAGATTAGCTTTGACATGTTGCTGGCACAATACTGTTGTTAGGGAGGCAGCGGCTTCCTGCAGGCATGTCTGTTGAGCATATCTGTTCCTGCTCAGCCTGTATTTATGTTTTATGGCTGTTGCTGCTTGCCTTTAGAAAAAGAAAAAATAGAGGCGACAATGTTTCAGGTGGTGGGAGTTTACCAGGGTGATGGCAGGATGGATGTGTATTCAGATGGATGAGGAATGGGTGGATTGGTGGTCGAATGAGCAGACAGACTGATAGTGAAGGCGAGCGAGTAAGAAGAGCCCCGAATGAGATTTGAAAATGCTTTATTTTTTATAATAAACAGGGTTCTCAGATCGACACCCACACAGCAGCGCATTTTCATTTGGTCCTGTTCCTATTGAAACATCTGGTAGAAATAGCAGTAGTTATATGTGTGTGCGCATGGTTTGGAACCGCTGTGTGTGTGTGTGTGTGTGTGTGTGTGTGTGTGTGTGTGTGTGTGTGTGTGGCAGTGGTTTATAAATGTATGTCTTCTTTCTACATGTTTCTCCAACCCCCTTACCAACAAAAGGAAAAATAGACATCTGAACAAAACCGTCAGCCACTCAAACCATTCAGACTCTTACTGTTGATCAGGTAGATTATTATTAATAATAATAATAATAAGCCAAAGCCAAGCGACGCTGTGGTTGCTTTGGTTACTTTAGAAAGCAATAGTTAAAAAGTATTCAGGCAGTCTCCTTGTATACGAGTGGAGCGCGCGCTCGGCGAGTCATTCCACTCAAAATCTCTGCAATAAACATTTTAATAACAATCCTCCAGCACGACAACCAAAAACAGTTCTTTTTGCCCAGAGAAGAAGTACAATTTTCGTCTCATATTGCAAAAGGTTTGCAGACGTTAACACACCTGAACCCAGCTCGCTCCAGGTACCGCAGTTCCCCTCCTCATGAAACTCATTTGAATCCTCAGAAACTGCAGTTGCAACACCAGTTGCTGATCTTTCAGGGAAGTTTCTCATATATGCAGTAACCCAACACAACCCCTGAAACCTCCTCTGTCCCTGCTGGTCAGTCACAAACACTGCTGTTACACTGTCAACGCTGAAGGCGAACCGACTCGGTGTGGCACGAAGCCAACCAGCAGACTTCTTTTTTTCCTCTTCGTTTTTTTGACTCCGCCAAGCTCTGCCTCTTTGCCACGACTCCCGTAGTGACCTCTTTAACTTTGTTTCAGGTACCCAATCATAGCCAGCCAGCCTCACGAGCACCTCCTTCTGAGGCAAAGCAATCTGTTTAACCCTTAACGACAACCGTTCGCTACCTTTCAGTGTGGCCTGATGCGGATATAGGAGGTCTGCCCTCCCAATTACATCATCTTTTCATATTCGGTCTCCTGTTCACAGTCAGCTTAAAAAGGCCACTGAGTTTATATTTTACTATAGATGATAACATAAATCAATCAGCAAGGTTTTTTCTTTTTTTTTTTTTTCGAGGGTCTAGTGTAGTTATCATTTCCCAAGTCTTTCTTAAATCCCATTGAAATGTACCACAATGTGCAATACTTTGATTTTGTTTTCCCCCTCTTTACTGTGCCAAGTGTATGTAGCAAAAGTTCGACTCCAGTGTCTGATCCTCGTTAAAGGCTCGTGTATTTCTTTTAAATATCTGTTGACGTGTGTGTCACATCTGAGTCAGGATGTTTGTGAGGAGAAACAGCAAAGCGTTTTTCCTGTTTTTCCTCTCCTTCCTCTCTTTCCTCTCCTTCCCTTTCGTCCTCGCGGCCTTCCTCAGTTGTGAGTCTGCACCGTGTGTCGTCGTGCGTGTAGGATGTATGCTTATGTACAACTGGTGTTCAAACGTGTGTGAGTGTTTGTGTGTGTGTGGGGGGGCGGAGTGTTTTCTCCTCTAATAGTCTGTGAGATCATAAACCCTGACCCTCGACGGTTCACGGTGAGACCCACAGGAAAAAGAAACCTCATCGCTAGTGGGGACCACTTTTTTTTTTTGTAGAAAAAAAAGAGAAAAAAAAAGAAAAAGGAAAAAAAAAAGATTCTAAACCAACCGAAAGAGATGCACATGTATGTAGATGTAAAAAGACTTGATAATGTTTCAGCACTTTCTAATCCTGGGACGGGGCTCGGTCTAACCCCTCTCTTTCAGGCCGACGCCTGTCCCGGGGGTAACATTCATTCAAAACAGACAGAGAGAATGAGAAAACAAACAAACAAAAACTAAACGGGGTGACTATTGATGAATAAAAAGAGAGAGGGGGAGAGATGGCTCAAGTTTGCACATCACCTTGCCGTAACCTTGTGTTTTATCTGTCTGTGCTCCATCTCGCTTGGCGCCCGGCGCGTTCTTGGGTCCAACGGGCCGAGGTGTTAGGTGATTCCTTGGTTCTTTTCTACTAGGAAAACCCCTTTCTCATGGAAAGCGTCCCCTCTTTCGTTGCGTTCATCTTTTCCAGCGCACACCGCCAACCTGCCTGAACGGATAAATTCGGTTTCTTGATGTTCACGGCTTGGTTCGGTTGTGCGGTGCGGAAAGAGCGCGTGCAAACCTTTGCTTTGTTTGCATTATCTTTGGTGCAGGAGCTTTTTGTTGTTGTTGTTTTGTTTTTGGTCTCCTTGTAGCACTCAGTATAATGTCAGGGGACTTAAAACTATGTAGAGAATGTGTCATTGTTGAGTTTTTCAAGACAAGCGTCCTCACTGGAGGAACAGTGCTAATGTCATTTTATTTTATTTTTTTTAATTGGCTTCTTGCACAACTTGACAAATAAAATGAATGTTGGTGAGTGAGCTTTGACTTTTTTTGATCAGAAAAAAGGCATGTGTGCTCTTTGTTTCTTAATGTTTGTACTTTTATTTTGCGTAAACAAAAATGTGTTTTTTGGCACTTTTGTTGTGTTTTAAAAGTGAACAGAATTCGATCAGGATTCCACTTTTTTCATGAATTTATTTTTCTTTTCTTTTTTTTTTTGTATGATGTCTTGTCGATGTCCATAGCGCTGGATAACCAACTCAGGCAGAAAGAAGAAAAAAAAGAAGTGTAGAGGCCCACTTAACAGTTAGTTTCACACCAGTCAATTTGCATAGTGGGCTTTTTGATATGGGTTATAAGATATGTAAATTTATTACCTATAATTTGATATTTGAATTGATTTGATTAACAAATGTTCTTATTGGAAATTAACTATAAATTATTATGATATTATGTGTATTATGCTGGAGATGGCTTGGATTACTCTTTAGTGTACTGATCATCTCTGGGCGGCCTCTCTGTGGAAGGCGATAAAAACACTTCAGGACAGGCTGTGTGGTTCTTGACCTCTGACCCTGCCCACTGCCAGGGAGGGGGTGGAGTTGATCTGTCAGCTGTGTCCTTCCTGTGATCTGAACACTCAGCCCTGAGGCTAGCAACCTGTCTGTCAAGATGTTTCTCAGTTAACCTGCGTCACCACGTACTAAAGTGAGACTTACTGGCCTGTGAGATGGTGGCGGAGAACTGGACATCAGCGCAGACCTGCATGGACAGTCTGGCCTACAGGGGGGGCCACAGCAGTTCCCAGCCAACTTGTTTGTACTATATTGTACTCACCAAGTCCCTGTGTCTCACCACCCCATTTCCTCTATAGCAATGGAGAAACCCTGTTGGTGTATGTATTTGACATCTGTACAAACGCACCTCTTTGGAAAAACAAAATGAAACCTTGACATATCTGGAACAAATGGGCAATTTGTGTTTTTCTTTGAGTAGCAATGCATACGTGAACAAAAGATCTGGATATCTGTACAGAACACAGCTACTGTGATTTCACCCAGTGCTGAAATTGGTACCTTTTATAATATCTCCCTCTAGTGTTTAGTGGGCTACATAACACCTGCCCTACAGTTTTGAGCCTTTCCAAAGCTTCGGAGTTATGGAAGTGCTTGCTCTGTCTAAAAGCCACACTGCAACCAAAAAGCTGGTATAGAAGAATACAAAATGAAACATGGTACTCAAACAGATTAATATTTGTAGCCCCTGAAGGTTATTGATTTTTGCCTCCTTGCACAGAGCTCACTGTGTGGGCTTAGCTAACTATTACAGTTTGGTCCTATTTGGACACTGACATTGTGTCTCTGTACAATCACAGTGGATTATAAATTGAATAAAAAAGATGTGATTGAATTGCAAACGTTCGGCTTTAACTCAAAGGGCTTCACAAAGGTTTTGCATTAACTGTTTAGGAATTACAGCCATATTTAAAACATAGTCATATAATCCCAAGGCTTGAACGTAATTGGACGACTGGCAGGGAAGCATTCTTTGAACCTGTTGAGGCCTCTTCCCCCATTATTTCATAACAAATTAAGCAGCTAAAACTCTGGAATTGATTCAATCTGTTGACCTTGTATTTGGTAGCTGTTCACTGGAACTCTGAATAGGAAGTGCAAAGACATGTGAGGGAGTCTATCTGGAAAAAATAATAAATGAACCTGTCAGAGGCTTCTTGATTGATTTAAAATCCACTGTGGTGGTGTACACAAGCAAAATACTAAACACTTAAGGACCTAAATATACATTAGAAACAAGTTTTCAAGGACCCAACATGTGACCAGCAGCACAAAAGAAACGACTGTTTCATTCCACCTTCAGTTGTAGTACTCTCCTCCTGATCTTATAGCAGCTACTCCATGCAGCTTTGTTTTCACAGGAAGTGGCAACACCAGCAACAAAGAAATATTAGAAATATGTGAGCAGTAAGTGATGAAAGAAGTTTCGTTGTAATGCAACATGAATCTAAATGGTCTTAACTCCAAGCCAGACATCTTGGTAGTTGGTTTACCACTTCTTCTTTTTTTTTTTGTTGAAACTTTTAAATCAGAAAAAGAAACCGAAATCTCAAAAGCTTCTAGTTACAGTTTATTGTCCAGAAAGAGGAATTATGTTAATCATTCACTGATTAATGACTTCCATTTTCTGTCTTCACTGCAATAAACAATGTAATACTGTTAGTTATCACAGTATGCATTACATAGTGTAGGTTTTCATTTCCTGCGTTTAATTTCATCGTTACGTTACTTTACAATGCAGTAAAAGGCACAAATCTCTAGACTTGCATGATTTAAAATGAGGGACACATTTTTAAGTAAATATACCAAATACTTGAAATGCACAAACTGTGAAGACTTCATTCTCATTATGAAAGCGTCCCAACTCAGTTGAAACTGAAAGACCAACACCACTGAGGAAACCAGCACAAGGTTCTCCATGCAGTTTATTGCAACACAATTTCTGCCTTGACAATTAAAGGCTGGAGTCTCTTAATCTCGCATATCAACTTGCACATTCATTTTAAGATACACTTCAGCAAAATCATTGATCTTCCCACTAATACCAACACGTTCCTGCTGAGTGTGTTTTACAAATCTCATATTCTTGCTTGCTCTCGATATGTTGTTAATGTTGAAATATCCTCCAGTAACAACTTTATATACAAGTTTCTGAAAAATCTCTACTGTAGTAGTTTCACTGCCGTTTCCCAAAACTGAAAGGTAGCAGGTGAAGAGTATTTGCACATTCCCATTCAAAAACAATGTCTGCATAAATTACAACAGTACTTTATTGGTTTCTGCAAGCATAGAAACACACTCACTGTGAGATTAAAGAGAGTAGAGTGTTGTTATCCATCTGGGTAATTCAAGTCAAATTTTTGAGTTGGTTTAATTGCAGCCTGAAGGAGTTGAAAGCTTTCGGACAGCAGATATCCTGAGAGAAACAGGTGCGTGGTGAAGTGAGGTGTAGGTCTGTATGTGGTCCTGCTGCTACTGGGAGAAAGTAGTACCACCCCCTTAAGTGAACATATAGCTAGACTGCTGTGTGACACGGATAAAGGTGGTTCTGCGGCTCAGCTCTTTGAGTTTGGCGGCACCCACATAGGTGCAGGTGGAGCGCAGTCCCCCCAGCACATCCCGGATGGTATTTTCCACATCTCCTTTGTAGGGAACCTCGACCGTCCTCCCCTCTGATGCCCTGGGAGCCAAGGAAAGAGGTGAGAAGGTGGACTTTAGAAACTTTTCTTTGGTAAAATATCTGCTCATCTATTCTAGTACAAGACCAGAGCATGAAAGTTTAAAATGGGCTCATCTTTTTTTTATAAAGGCAACTTTTGGAGTTCTAGAATTCTTTTGTCTGCGTTATGAATCATCAAAGTATGAAATGGATTCAATAAGAAAAAAAATGTTGCGAACACCTGAGTCATTAAAGTGTGTCTATAATAATACACTGTTACTATAAGCAATGAAAAAAAAAGGAATTCCCATAGCAACACAGATGAAGCCAAAATGAATGACTCACAGGTGTTGCTGCGAGTCTCAGGGTATCACTATCTCACCTATACTCGGCAACTCCCCCAGTGTATTTCTTCATGGCTGTGTCGGAGCTCATGCCGTAAAATAGTTTGTACTTCTTGCCATTTTTCTCAATGACCTCCCCGGAGCACTGGTCGTGGCCTGCGAGCATTCCTCCCATCATTACAAAGTCAGCACCGGCACCTGAGGAGCAGAGGCACAGCCAGAGTAGGTACAGAGGTAAGATGTATAGAACAACACAGCAAGTTTGAAGAGACAAACACAGCGCACTGTTGACCACAGCATTCCCGTAGCCATGCAGTGTGAAGAATGGGGACGCACACGAAGCTGAAGTCAGGGAATTTGGACAAGGGCATGAAGTCATGGAGATTATATCGTAAAAGACTAAAAAAAACAGTATAATCACAATTGTATGCGACACCATTATGTAAATGTTTTTACCTCAAGATATGTTTTTTGTAGATTACAGCAGGTAAGCTGTATATACATACAAAAGTAAGCTGGGAAATAGATTTGCCACTACTTCACTGTAATTTCACTGGGGCATTTCTTACAGTGTGGGGTTGGTTACTCACCAAAGGCCTTAGCTACATCTCCAGGGCAACTGCAGCCACCATCCTTAACAGAAGTTAAACACATGTCAGTTTACTGGTTCACATTAGGTCAGAGAAGCAGGTTTAATGTTTAATTTTAGGACTAAACTGCTCCCCCTATTGGCTGGAAACCTTCAGTAACATGCATGAACAAATCTAGTGATGCATAATTGCACATGTTTTTTGGTTTTTGCACATGTTTACAGTGTGTTACACCTGCTGAACTGATGAGAAAAAACCTGGTCTTTAAAGCAATAAATGCTCTTCTGTTGCTCACTGTTTGCCACCCTGTCGTCCAAGTACAACACAATTTAAAATGGAAATCTCTTTGATGCATTTTCAGTATCTACATGAAAACCACATCATTGCACTCTGCTCTGTATCATTTTCATTTCAGCCTCTTGCATATTTGCAGCATATTCTGCAGACAGCTTTCCTACTGTTGCAGAAATTGCCAAGATTTACTTTGATTACTGTTTGACTTCATTATTTTTATTTAAAAAAAAAAATTATATTGTGGACTTACAGAGATAATGTGACCTTTGAGTCCATGAGCTGAGTCTGCACACTCTATAACAGCACTGAGCTGTGGGTAACCCACTCCTGTCTTGATCCTTGTTGTGCACACAGAACCTGCAACAGTCAGAGCACACATTAGAGAACCACATCTTTATCTCTCTCTCCGTCTGTGCTGATTGCTGCTGTTGTAACTACAGGAACCTGCCGTCTTTTTTAATCTGTTCAAGTCAGGTGACTACTCAGGTGCATGATTGGCTTTTAGTCCAATCATGCACCTGACCTTTTAAGGAGTGTTTTTGTTTGTTGCATCATGTGACACTGACCTGTGAACCATAAAAGCACAATAAAGGCACCCATGTCAAGTGTTGTGTCTGCACATAAAATTGTATCTTAAGGCACATTTTTACTAGCAGATTGTCACAAAAAACGCACCATTTTTGGTAACAACACATTTTGACAAGCATAAAATAGGAGTTTTGCACCATCAAGGTGATTCGCAAGGAGTTAATAGCTAAAAATTTGCCAAATGTTGGCATGGTGTGCAGTGTAAAAAACAAACAAACACAACAGTAGTGCCATTTTTACACACAGCGTCTTGGTTTGGGGCTGTGTTTCAGCCACTGCCGTTGGGAATCTCCAAAATTGATGGAATTTTCTTTAGTATTCAGCTGCTTAGTAATGATTGTGATTCATAGGCGCACCCGTTAGAAAACAAGCAGCTTCATCTTATTGTTTTTGCCATTTTTATATTCGCTCTATGAAACTCAGTGCTATCTGTGTTAGGAAAAAAAAACAGCTTCTTTCATTTTTATGTCGTGTTGTTGTTGGACTGAGTTTGCAAGTAAACCCAGGAAGGACAGATAAGTCTGAGGCTGGGAATGGGAATCCTGATTAAACAAACAAATCGTGCAATACCATCTGGAAAGTATCCGATTGGCGACGGCTTAATTTGTCAGCATGACAATGATCCCAAACATTAGTCTGCTGTAATCGTACCAGTAAAACCACATTTTTCATGTCTCCACCGCAACGTTATAGTGGCTACATTAGTCATGCAATGAGTCAGTAACTTAATGGCGTGTAACATGACCGCTATACTTGGTTTAAAATGCTGTACGTCTCTGTCTTGTGTCTCATCTGTGTTTGCATGCCTCACTGCTGGTCTCTGTGTTTGAGGACCGTGCAGCTTTGTGTTAAGAGACCTTTGCACCAACTCACCTGGCCCGATGCCCACTTTGATGATGTCAGCCCCAGACAGGATGA